CGAGCAGGAGATTTTGCGGGAGGAAGAAGGGAAGCTGCAACAATTCACCTTGAATGACTTGAATATTCTCAGTAAAAGTAAGACGTGATGCTGACCTCTGAGTGTGTGTACAGGGCACTGAGGAGGAGGACAAAGGGCACATGAACATTAGGAAAACATGAGATGTCATAAAAGACCAGGGGCATGAATCTCTAACTGCTCTTACCTGCTCTCTGGGGTTTTGTTTGTGTTTTCCATGATGCTCCTTCAGAGTTTTGTAAGGATCCCTCTCAGCTCAAGATCTGTGATTTTCTCCTCCAGCACTTGACAGATTGGATGAGGGTCTAGGGCATACATTCTCCACAGGGGTGAAAATTGTTTCTTGGTGTGAGGTGGTAGCAGCAAAAAGTCATCTGATACACTGCAATAGTTTGTTGTCTCCCAAAGCTCAGCCCTACCTCACAAATCTTATTCTTCATATTTAATTAGGGGAGTGGGCAATTAGGAACAATGTTCAAAAAGCTCCTTAAGGGGGCTGGTGATTATGAAAAAAGTAATTGAGATACTGGTCTAGGGAAAGCAAAATACAGGCAATGGAGTAACTGGGGTTGGCCTGGTCAGGTGTGAAAGAGCATAAGTTGATGTCACAGGCATAACAGCTAAATTAGTGATGGGATCATAAATTATGAACACAAAAATCAGAGAGAACAGAGATTCTAACAGCATTCAAGAGCTGGGCTGGCAAGAATGGTGCTCAAACCCTTGAGGACGGTGGAAGAATGTACAAAAACTTGTGAGATGGCAGGGATTGGGAGGAAGATGGTGTTATGAGATGCTGGATTGAATTTCAAAAGAACTGGAAGAAGGAGATCAGGAGAGAGACAGGTAAGAGTTGGATAAAGATGAGGGGGGAGAAAGCGTAATAGGGTTGGGACTGGAGATAAGTGAAGCTGGAAGTAACCTGGCTACTGATAGGTTACCATGGGAGGGGAGGTGGTTACCATGGGAGGAGAGGTAGGGAAGTAGGATTTCCCTCCAAGAGGAAGACCTAGAACTTGCCCACGCAAAGCTGAAATACTAACGTACTAGTAAGGGCCTTAAAAAGATTTTCTTGGCATTTTGTACTTTCTGGGGCTTCAGTTAAAAAGTAGAGAAGGAGAGAACTAGTATCTTGAATACACACAAAATAAAAGGTTGTGTGGCCAGTGTAAAAGCTATAAGGCAACATATCCAAACACTTAAGTTTATTTTAAATATAATAGTTACCCTTCTTTCTGTGTGAATTTCTCTAGAAATTCAGTTTGCTAAAAAGAGCAGACTAAAAAAAAAATCAAATTATGCTGTTATCAAATTCATCTGTACAGTTGAATTATTGGACATTCTATTACATTTTTCTCTGGGTTTTGATTATAACATTTATCATCACACCCATATTTATTAATACCTATATCCTATAATGTGAGTGGAAGGTAGCTTTGGCAATGAGGGAGGTATGACAAGATTCTTTAAAAAGTTCGTTTCATATTCTGTGTCAGCACAAACACCAGCAACTAGTTTAATCAAGCATTCACAGAAATATTTTCCCCATACCCTGAATTTAAATATTCTAATATATTCTCTCGAGCCATCAGGGACTTCTGCTCTGTTCATCCATAAAAAGTTTATGCTAATCTTGCCTATTTTCTTTCTTTCTTTTTTTTTTTTTTTGACATTTTAGGTTTCAAGGAAAGCCAACAATAATTAATATAAATTAAAAATTCTGGCCTGGAAAGCTGCTCCTTATCAGCCTCTCACACTGTATATGCACTGCACAGAATCATAATAGATTAGCTTCAAAGTCCAGTGAAATGGTCATGAAAGAGGCCAAATAGATTAGGATAATACTTAGTGAAGTCTGCTGCTGTGAATAGGTCTAAAGCTGTATGTCATGTAATTTCAAAAATTTAAATGAGTTGCTACAAGATTGCTGGGATGCTCTGACAGAATCACATCTTATTTAGAGCTTCTGGGCTGAGCAAAACCTCATATTTCTCTCAAAGTCAAGGTTATTAATAAATGTTTGTATTAATAGAGTAGCTGCTAATCACATGTCTATTAAAGACTTGAAATATGGCTGGTCTGATAGGTGCTGTAAGTATAAAATATACACTGGTTTTCAAAGATTTAGCATAAAAAAGAACGCATACCATCTCATTAATATTTTTAATTTTTCACGTTAAATTTTTAAAATTAATTTTTAATGTTAACTGCATGTTAAAATAAAAATCTGAATATACTGTGGTTATATAAAACATATTATTAAAATTCATTTCACTTTTTTGTGTTTTAAAATATGCCTATCTGAAAATTGTAAACTACATGGATGGCTCTATTTCTGTTGGACAGTGCTGCTCTAGGCTGTATCCCAGCAGTGAGGTAAGCCACAAGGAGGCAGGCGAGTACCTGGGGCCCCTTTCTGTCTCTTCTGTTTCCTCCCTAAGGGACCTTGGCACATTACTTATTTTCTTAGTAACCAAATCTTAGTTTCCTCATATATAAAACAGAAATAATAGCAGTGCTTTCCTCTCAGGGATAATCAAATCTAAACTGCTCTTATCTAAAGAGATAACTTGGGTTCTTAGAATGAGCATTAAGTTCTGGATTATAAAAAAGGGCACAATTCTAAAAAGTTAACTGTAATAACTCAAAAGTTAACTCAATAGAGAAATAGGGTGTAAATCTTAAATAAATAGTAAAACAAATCAAGTCAAACCCAATTTAAAATATTTCTATCCTCTTTTTGCTTTTGACCCATTGCTACTGGCTCGGAAATATATTAATGTAACAGAAGTAAAGCTCAGAGTTATCTAAATATAGATTAGCCCTGCAGTTGTCTGGGTCACCTCTGTCACTTAGCAAAGGAACCTCAGGGTAATGCAAACCAACTTGTGTCTTTAAGAAAGACACAGTCAAGATTGTCCTTTCTCCCAAAAGGCAATCACATGCCATTAATAGTTTAATACTATGTAATTTTAGGACTGGAGAGCTATGTGGGCAGCCTGGGTAACGGAGAGTGAACAGGACAAACAGTCCAATGCCAGAGATTCAATCCTAAGCCACAGTCTAGGCCAAGATCACATGAGATCCCTGAACCTTGCTGTCAAAACCTGTAAAATGGAGATGAGGATGGTAACACTGCTCACAACAATTATCAAGGATTAAACAGTGTGTGTGTGTGTGTGTGTGTGTGTGTGTGTGTGTACTCACAACAATTATCAAGGATTAAACAGTGTGTGTGTGTGTGTGTGTGTGTGTGTGTGTGTGTGTATGTGTGTGTACATATATATATATACACAAACTCATCTGTAAACTGGAAAGTATGACACAAATGTTAGCTAGTATCATTATTTTAATCTACTGGATTCTAAGACTGATCTGCACTGAGAGACAGCCACTTTGTTCTATGTTGTCATGTGAAAGAGCAGAAGGTAAACAAGGGTGACTTTGTACACAGAACTTAACTTGTCAGGACCTTAGTGTCCTCTTCTTCCCTATTTACTTTAAAGTGAATTTACACACATTAACACACACATTAGTAAAAAGGATCAATATCTGTGTTAACATGTCAAGGAGTAAACAGGAAAGTAAAGAAAATGCATCATTCTGAGTTCCTCAGGCAATGAAGACTATTTTATTAGGAAAAGGGCAAAAGAACAAACTAAACCATTAGCCTTCAAGGTATTGGAAAGACAGCCAAACGTGCTCTCCAGAAGTCTAGAGGTCGAGACCAATTCAGTATGTGGCTCTTCAGCATTCGAAAAGTATAGATCATTACTCTCTGATTCCAGCCATTTTTCACCTTTTAAATTTCCATTTCTGATGTTTTTAACCTTTTTTTTTTAAATTTGGAAACTGAATTCCATAACCACCACCATTGTTATTACTATCATTGCCAGGACCATCACCAACATGTCCAGATTTTATATTTATAAAAACACAAGATGTAAAAATACCCCCGTTACTTTGGTCTTCAATAACACTAATCACATTATCAACCCTTATCAGGGCAGTGAGTGAAAATCAAACACCAGTGATTATGCTTGAGAGTTATTCCTAAGAGCAAATGTCACCACACTAATTCCCATTACTAATTCCAGGCAAGCCTCACATTGTTTCGTACCTGTAATACAAACCGAGTATGTGGTTACACCATTTGGTTACACCTTTTGAGAACACTGCATTTCCCAAAGTACACTACTAAATATTTGTCTTGGAAAATGCCTTGCCAAAAAAAAAAAAATAGCCTTGGAAATGCTGTATCCCATAGTCCCTTCTTAAAGATTCACAAGGCATATTAGCATATTAAAGCTTCTTGCAATAAATAATTTTTTTTGGTGGGGGCGGGGGGGCTGGCCTATACAGGGATCTGAACCCTTGACCTTGGTGTTACAACACAGAGCTCTAACCAGCTGAGCTAAGTGGCCAGCCCAATAAATGAATTATCTTTGCTTAACTCAGCATATCCTAAATTTATTTGACAATGTAACCCTTCCCAATTTCCACCCCTTTACAAACAATCTATGAACATCTCCCAGAAGTAGTATTTCCAGAAAAATGCTCTAAGCAATCCTCTTTTTGATTGATAAGGGATAGAATTAATTGAGATGAATATTATATTCACCCAAAGTCTGAAAACCCTAATTATTCAGCTTTAGGAAGAGGCAACAACAGTGTAATCAAATGAGTGCTGGGAAGGAAAGGATTTTTTTTTTTTTTGTCTTTTTTCGTGTCCGGCAACGGATCGCAACCCTCAGTGTCATGCCCGTACCGGACTGGGACCGGCAACGGGATCGCAACCCTCAGCGCTGCGTCCGCACCTCGCTCAGCCAGTGAGCAGGAACCGGTCTGTATGTGGGATCCGAACCCTCGGCGGGAGCGCCACCGCACTCCCAAGCAGCGCACTGTAGCAGTGCGCCACCAGGCCGGCCCCAAGGAAAGGATTTCTTGAAATCACAAGGCCACCTGATAGACATTCCACTTACTTAAGGAGATTCCCAAGATTGAAAAGAGCCCGGTTATGCTGTGGGTGTAGCTGGAGAGCCCTTTGATAGTACATCTTTGCCTCTGCCGTGTCTCTCGTTAGTGTTCCAAGGTTGTTCAGTGCACTTGCATGGCGTGGATACAACCTGAAAAATTAGAAATATTAAGCCATGATTGTTCAAAAACTTCTGAGTTGGGCATAATTTGCTTGTTCTTTTTGCCCAGGTATGTCACAACCAAAATGAAACACTGAATCCTTCCTTTATTCTAATGGGTTGTCTGTGTCAAATCTTGATGGTCCAACTATTTTTGCAATTGAAGGCATAGAAATATGACATGGAAACACATATCTGACACTTACTGGTATAAATATGAGGGTACTTCAGAAAGTTTATGGAAAGATTCATGTTACCTTTTAATTCTATTCTTACATAAACTTTTGTAGTACCCTTGTAAATAACCCCCAAAATTTTAGTCTTTGGATCCTACAATGACTTTCACCTTCCTGTGATAGAAAATCCTTGCCTCAGGTGCTGAGTTTCTGGCCTGGTCAGACTGTGGACTGACCTGTACAGCGCCCACTATTAACACCAGATGCTGGGAGTTCCTTTGCTGAGGAATCTTCATGAACATCTTTGGATTGCAACATTATAGCATGACTGCCATGATGAGAAAGGATGATACATAATGTCTTCCCATAAAAATAAACTTGATCTCCAAAATAGCTCCCCACCTTGACTCTCATTTCCTCCCCTACTGCAATTTGGCTCCCTCGGACCTAATACAGTTCTCAGACTGAAAATCTCAAGAACTTAAAACACTTAAAAATCAAAAATTAAGTAAAGCACTATGAATCGAAAAACAGCATTCCTAATGCTCAAAAGTAAATGAAAAAGAGGATGTGGTGTACATCAGTAAACCAAATTTATGTTGATTAAAGTTGAAAAGGGAATCAATTTACTTCCTTAACTCAGAACTATAGAGAAGCCAAATTAGTACAGCAACATAATTCAGTTGTTTCGGACACACTTAGAGTGGGCATATTTAGCAGTCTAATAGGTTTGCTCTATCTCTGTCACCCAGAGTACTTTGAATAAGCCTGTGGAGCTGGCTTTTAATATAGAAAAGCCAAGAAAATGCCCAATTAATAAAAACAGGATCTGTACTTGTCAAGTCTCTTGACAGTCAAACACTATGTCTGCCCCCTGTTCTGTACCTTTTAAAAAGATCAATTTAATTTGGGGACAGAAGAGGTTCTATTAAAAGGCCAAAGAAGACAAGTTGCATAGCTTTTTGGTCTTTGCTCAACCCAGAGTTTCCTAAGCTTATCTGGCCCTTCCCTACTAACTTAAAGAACAGCTATGAACATTCCCTAGAGCTAGTGTTTCCAGGGAGACACTCTGTAAAGCTCCTCTTGACTGACAAGAAGTAGAACCAATTCAAATGAACGCTACATCGGGGCGTCAGGGAGAAACTGGGTAATGGACACAAAGAATGATTATGATTTGTAATGATGAACATGCTATCAATACTGATTTGATCATCACGCATGTACACAAATACTGATAGTTCACCCCATAAATATTTATAATCAATTATGTTTCAAATATAAAAAATAAATAAAAGCAAAACAAAACAAAAAAACATAAATACTACATCACCCAAAGCTTGAAAGTCCTAGTTACTCACTGACTTTGGAGGCTGTTAGGAGAGATATTTAGAGGAGGTCGGGCAAAAGAAAACACACTCGGCCAGCACATGTGCTGTTGTCTGCTTCTATCTGATCTCCTTTAATTAGCACAGAAAACTTTAGGGTCCCTGACACTGGCCCCTTAACACCCAGCCTCACAGTTCCTGGGGGATAAGGGCTTGGTGCTCTGAGATGTCATTAGAGGACATCAGAGCTAGGATGAGAGACAAAAAATGCTCTTGTAACTGTCTACTCCCTTCATGCCCAGGACAGTGTCCTGAGAAGCTTGTTTTTAAGAATTACTTTGGAGGTGGTAGCATCACAGCCAGGACTGAACTTCTAAAGCAGCTTTTGTTTTTGTTTGTTTTTGATGTTGAGCAAATACTCTGACTTCCAAAAGACTTAAGGGGTATCCAGTGACCACAGTAAGGGCAATTTCCATGCTTGCTTCCTTTATGGCCAGCAGTGATGGAAAGCCAATTTGGGACATGTGCCTTCCTTCATCTCAGAAGAGGTAATTTCTTAAGGCTTTTTCTCTTCCCTTATTTCTTCAGGCTTTGGAGCCTTTGAAATAAATGTCTGAGGTAAGAACACTAACTATGGGAAAGGATAGTCTAAATTCCATAAGAGCTTCCACAGTGGGCTCACCCATATGTTAAGGTGCCAATCTGCCTGCCAAGCACCTGGTCCTCTCCAGCTCGTCCTCAGCCACCTTCCCGGACTCATGATCCTGTTGCCATTTGAATGAACAGTCATGTACTTTCAAAGTTCACTGACTACAGAAATAATTTTCTCTTTCTTTTTCAAATCAGAAACAGAATGCAAGTCCACCCTGAACTCTCAAAAACAAAAAAACAAGCAGTGAGCAGTGCAACAAATAGAAGCATTACGAGAGAAAAGGCCCTTAATATGCCTTGCCTCTAAGAACCGGTCTGCAGTTGCAGAAACATGAAACTGATGAGGAGAGCACTTCCTGGCCAGCTACAGTCAGGGAAGAGGCTCTGTGTTTATGAGGAACCCCAAATTGACTCTTCAGGGAAGAGGATTACTGGTATCTACAGTGATTTACTGATTCTACTGCCAAGCACAGCTCTCTACCCAAAAAATGTGTAGATATTCTTTATATCCGGTAGAAAGGATCTGCTAGCAATAGCCTCTCTCACTGGGTATCTGATTAGGTTCACCTAATCACAAACAAGCATTGCATTATTTATGAAACAAAGCTGAATTTCTTTAAAAGGATTCTTAACCAGGTCAGGAAAAATATCTTTAAAAAAATGTATATAGATGTAAATATTTTCTAAAAACGTATACTATTTTCCTATTTACTACAGACCTATGCAAGGACAAAATTTACTTCATGTGTTTATCTTTTAAATAGACTTAGCTTGGATCTAATTCAACCCTGAGGTCTCCAGGAGGGAAACTGTCTATTGGAAAGATGAATAATTTAAGAGATGACTATGTTGCTACATCAGTTGTCAGAATAAATTAAGTGCACCTTGCCTTTGACTTCTACAGGTATGTTTTGCACAAGTCCTAGCTGGTAATTATTCCCTTCCCCATCCAAAAAAACTTCAACAAAAGATTCACTGAACAGGGGCAAAGTGATAATTTTTCAGGTCTACTTTTTAAGAATAATATAAACAGTCAATGAATTTTCTTCCTCACAGTCTTAGTCAATATTTATATTGTTTATGAGGACTCTCTTGCTATTTCTTTATTATTATTATCATTTCAATGATTTATATTTTAAAAATTTATTTTATGGAGAAAATGTGTTATAGTGTTGAATAGTTCTGGGGTACAAGGAAACTTATTTTTCCCTCTTTAAAAAAAAGATGTAGGGGGCCGGCCCGGTGGCGCACTGGAGAGTGCGCCGCTTGGGAGTGCGGCGGCGCTCCCGCCGAGGGTTCGGATCCCATGTGGAGACCGGTTCCCGCTCACTGGCTGAGCGCAGTGCGGGCACAACACCAAGGGTTGCGATTCCGTTGCCGGTCCCCGGTACGGGCGCAACACCGAGGGTTGCGATCCCGTTACCGGTCAGTAAAAAAGACAAAAAGGAAAAAAAAAAAAAAAAAAAAAGATGTAGGTACAGTGATACAGTTCCATGCACTGAAGAGAAATTTTTTTCAAGTATTGGCTAATTTAGACTCTTGATGAACAGAACATCCATTTAAACATTTAAGTGGGGTCTTAATTTTTATGTACTGGCCTTTCCTTAAGCAGAATTAATAAAGTAGGTAGTCAAGGCCATTATTGCCCTCCATTCCCAGGCATCTTACTTCTGACAAATGAACATCAACACATGTTAGTAGGAAATAGTCACTGGGAAGGAAACAGTTGCCTAAGTAAAAATTGGAAGGTAGGAACAAAAGAAAATGGGTCCAAAAGTAACTAGGGTATGTTAATGGTACTTTACATTTTAAAATGCTTTCTTATACATTGTCTCGTTTAACCTTCAAAATCCCTAAAGTAGAATTATTGTAGTATTTTACAATTGAGGAAAGGGAGTCTGGGAGAAATTAAGTAAATAATGGATTATAAAAAACACACCTCAGAAGCACTTGTGTACTTAAGTGTTAAGAAGGCAGATGGTTTGTATATATCTATTTGTTTTCCCAAATAATATGAGTCACTCAACCTCCAGCAAATATATATACTGCTATAAATTAGAGCTTCCATTTGGAATAATTTCTCCTTTTTGTTTCTTTGGCCAATTCGTTCAACTATGATCTTACAGAACTAGTTCTCGAGAGGTGAAATATCAATACTCATAAGCTTGGCAGCTGAGATTCTTACTTGCTGGAAAAATTAGTCTCCTGCCATACAAAATAATCATGGTATCTCTGAAAAGCATGGTATTGGAGAGTATACATGCTCTCCAGTCGACTGCTCTTAAGCTTTAACCTCAACTAAAGATCCATAGACATAGTGTGTATATGACTATTTTATGTTTTATTTCAGTCATTTACTTTAAATTTTGTACAATCTGTTCGCAAGTTAAATATGCTAATTTTTCATTTTTTGAGTATCTTATAAGGCAGTTCATTTTTCAAATAATATGGAATCATGGGCTTCAGTTTGTAATTTCCTTTCATAGCATACACACCCTGATTTATTTGTCTCAGTTTCATTCCACACATTTATTTATTTGAGATTAACTATGCTAAGGTCAGATGTTTATTTTCTATTTCCTGTTGAGAAAAAAAGAATCCAAAAGAAAAACATGACTGAGGAAAAAAATTCAACCATAAAACACGAATTTCACTGGACTAAAGAAATACACAAATTAAACTTCATTTCAGGAGTTGATAGCATGTTTTCAACTGTATTGGCCTGTGGAATATTTTAAGTGTCTGGTTCCTTACTGTATAAAACTTGAATCATCATGTCACTAAGCTGCATTGGGTAAGACTGATATTTTTATTGGTCTGCTTTACTAATTGTTTGAAG